TTAGGGGTTGGGGCTTAGGGGTTTAGGGGTTTAGGGTTTAGGGGTTTAGGGTTTAGGGTTTAGGGGTTTAGGGGTTTAGGGTTTAGGGTGACTTTAAGGGAATTGTGGCTTCCGCAGTCAATACTTATAATATGGACGAAGCGAATCTTGATTTAGGATTCTGCAGTTTTCCTGGCATGCAATAAGGGGCCTTCATCATTGGAATAGGTTTTGGGGTACAGTAATATGGTAGCACAACTTTTTGGGACTGTGGGGGTCTACTGTTAGAAATTGTTCCGGTTTCTGTATTACAGGTAGCACTTGCCTTCCTGACCTCAGTCACGACAATGGTATTCCTTTCATTTATTCTGTGATCCGTAATCCTTCATGCATCCTCCCGCACCCTGAGTAAAACACCCTGAAGCTGAGTCTCCAGGACTCCGCTTCGGCAAGCCCTTCAAGGGTACTAAACTAGCCCCTTATGTGGAAACCTTTTCAGATCAGACAACATATGGTTCTTGTTCTTGAACTTTTCTTGCATGCATAGAAACAAATAGATGCAAGACTCTTGCAACATCCTAGCTTATAGTATGGAAAACATGAAAGCTTCAACACTCGGGCCCGTATTTCGACGCGTTCTGACACCTTAAGGGAGACACTTTTCCTGAACCCCCCGCGAGGATCCTTTAAAGGAGCCCTGCACTCCTGAGGCTCCAGCAGGTTGCTTGGTCTGCGGGTCGACGCGCAGAGATGCCACGCTTTGACTTGCCCCTGGAGTGCTTCGGGTATTGGGTCAGGGTTTGAGGTTCGGGTAGGACTTGTGGGGGGCGGGTTTAGAAGTGACTTTCGTTGCAGGGCTCTAGTTGAGGAGTTTCGGGTTTGAGGGTTGAGGATCGAGATGCTGCTTGATACTGAACGTTGCAACATGCTTAAAACACCACATCCGGCGTGCAGCCAACGTGCAAAGTGATGAGTACAACAGAAACCGGTGTATATGAGACCACAGTAAGCCTGTCGTGTGATAGCCATACCCCCGGACGAGGGATTGTGGCAATGATAGGTAGCGCACTACGGGGAATAGCGAAAGTAGAAAGTTGGCAGGGAACCGTTTGCAAAATTTATATTGATCGTGACCCAAAACTTCGGTTCAGCTGTGGAAAGGAACACCCTGTGGCAGGTCCAACTTACGATGACAATACCAGGCAGTAACGGCAAGCAGTGCTGACAGGTGTCCAGGTCCAGGATCCACAAGGCTTCATTGTAAAAAAGTATGTTATGTGATATGTGTATTTTGCTTTAGGTTAGATTTCACTAAACTAAGCTTGGTCATGCTAGATTTGGGTATATACTGCAGTATATTTGACGATCTTCTCTCTTAAAATTAGGAAAGACGGCCAGGGTCGTCTTGTCTGAAGACCAGCCCGAGCTAGAGATCTCCCAACTCGAGATCAGCCTGCCTCCAGGCACGCCTTTGCTTTGTCGCGAGGGACCGGCCTTAACCACCCCGAATATAGAGGATTTACGGTAGGGTTTGGGGGACGAGCCATGCCCAAAGCCCTCCCCCTTACGCCTCAAACCTCAACTACTAAACCCACGCCCAAAAGCCCTCAATTGCGATATTCCGTCAGTTGTTGTACTCGGTAGCCCACAACCCGCGAGGAGCTGAGGTGGGTCTTTTGGGTTGAATTGGGGGTCTCGGGGTTTAGGTCCAAACATGCTCAGACACACCAGAGTGGAACGTAGAGAAGAAACTAGAAAGAAACAAGCCTAGTCTGGAGACATTCATGAGCAGAACAAATACGAAGATCTTGTGCGAAGGGGAAGTTGCCCTCTGGGGTTCGCTGTCAGAAGTCTCAGTGTCCCAGCATCCGGCACAGTGTGCAGGCGTTGAAAGCGGCAGTCTATTTGAGCAATGCGAGCTCACATAAGCACTGCATATCTGAAGCATCTTCATATCTGTACATGTACCCATGTAGCTGCAGATGCATGTCTATGTGTCGACTGAGCTTCGCTTGGATGATGCATCTGCACAAGCCACCAGGTCAGGCATGCTTTCGCTGACAGGAAAGAGTTTGTGCAGATTCCACATCAGTCCCGAGTATAGCGGTCTTGTTGTCAGTTCTCTCTCCTTCCAAGGCATGACGAAAGGCACGCTCCTGCAATCCGCACAAGACGTGTCCAGTTGCAGGCCCGGATGTGGACAAGACCGCTGGCGGTGAAATTAAGCTCTGCCTGCTGCCAGGTCACCGTCAAGCTATCGTTGGTTTGAGTTTCAGAGCCGTCGTGGAGTCAGAATCCCTAGAGCTGCACCCCCCCTTGCAGTCAACAACGCAGGCACACCGAAACAGAGATGGTCACAGAGGTGCGGTCATACATGGGCAAGGCTGATGACCGAAACTGTGCCCTGAGTTCTTGTTAAGTACATGGTATGACGATGCCTGTGATGGTGTTCATCATCATGGAGATGACGGTGATAGTTGTGATGTTGATTACGTTATTGCTAGTGGTGGTTGCGATGATGATGGTGATGATGGAGAAGAAGAAGATCATGATGATGATGATGGTGATGATGATGAGTATGATTATGATGATGATGATGGCCAAGAAGACTATGATTAGTATGATGGCGGTGGTTATGGTAGTGACGGTGTTGGCGATGATGATCATGGTGGTGATGATGAAGGTGATTGTGACGATGATGATGATGATGGTGATCATCATCATCATCATGACAACAGTTTTCGATAATTCTGAGACCCAATATCAATATGTTTTACAACAGCAGCAGTTGTTTTCGATGTCGCGGTTTCATTGTTCGGCCTGCAGACTTTCAGAACTACAAGTTGTGACCCTGCCTGATGTTGTTGATGATGATGATGATCTAGCTTCCGGCTCGTTTTCACAGCAGCAGTGGGGCGAGTTCCTATATCTAAACGAAGGGCAGCATGCCCCTGAAGATCCGCACCGCGAAGCTTCTCGTAAGAGTCTTCTTGGTAGGAACGTCGACGTCTGACTTTTGATGCCAGGTCAACCAAGGCATGTGTGCCTTTTACGACAGCTTCGGCCCTTGGGGAGCTCCTGGGCAGAGTCGAGTCTCCAGTTCGAGCGGGTTAGTTTTTCGTGACTCTGGTCGAAGTCGGAGGGGTTGCAATGGCGGCAGTGCACTACAAGAAGCTGTCGCATTGCTTACTCTGCTCGCTGGCGTTTCCAGCTGAACCTATCATCCTTCAACAGCTTACAAAGACGCAGTTCTCATACTCCGACGTCACACTCGTCCCCACAGCCATCCCCAACTGAAGTAAAAGAAGAGATACTAAATAAGAACAGCTGGAATGATGATTATCGATTATCGGCATTCTGGGTATGTTCATATCCGAGGTTTGGAGCTCCGTGCTCCTCGATCGGCACGTGCCCATCTCCGCGCCGGGGCTCGTCGGCGTCTGGCTGCGTGGCCTACAAACCGGTGACTTGGACCCTGATGGAAACAGTCAGAGCATTGCCTTCCACGACAAATGGCAAGGTTCTTGTTAACATGAGAAATGGATAAAAGTAAGGTGAGACCGGGCACTTGTCCAAGATCACCGAGAGGATGTTGAACAATAGCATGTGCATAGAACTCTAAGTATTCTTGTTCCTCCAAGAACTCCAGTCACGATGGTCTTGGCAGACAACAGTTGTGCTGCCAGCAGCAGCGGTAGTATCACAGCAAACATCAATGCGGTGAAGATCATCACAATTGGCAGGGCTCGCCGGATGATTGATCACATGTTTACGCGCATGCATGTTCCTACACCTGGTCCTCACCGTTCCGTTACTTGCTGTCATCATCATCAAGAACAACAACATCGTCGTCATCACCATCGTTAGCTCTTCGTTGTAAGCGCAGCATCAACCCTGACGATGGTGACGTTACTGACGACAATGAAGAAGATGATGGTGATGTTGATGACGATGATGATGACGATGATGGCAACGGTGATGGTGAGGGTGACGATGATGTGTGCGTGTATGTGCGTGTGAATTTGGCTGTATGCAAACAAGTTATACGCACGAACGATACCGACAGCGGCATGAGTCGAGCTGATTGCTCGCAGCAGTTGCAATCAGATCGCCAGCTGCATGCTCATCCATACCGGAGCTCAGCAGCACCACCGCCACCGCCACGAGTGTGGTTTCCCAGTCTTCATCTTCATTAAAGGTTAGGATTAGGAAACCACAGTGATGTTATTTTCGTAGGGACTTGCTGTGAGATGCTACGATAGGTGTGAACCTAGAGCCCTAGAGATTGCCCGGGAGCTTGCGGCCGCGGGTTGAACTTGTTTCCAGAGGGCCTTCTGATTTCTGAGAGCTTGGGTGCATGTCTTAGAACCCAGGTGTGCAATGTGACACTCCTGGGTTGCATTTTTAGAGTGACCCTGGGCAGAGAGGCGCCTGAGAATCGGAGTCGTGCAACATCGGAAAACTACACTACGTGTTCATGCATGCCCGGTTCATCACATCAACAGCCGAGCCGAGGCAAGTTCTGGGCCAGAGCCTTGGGAAAGAAGCATCCAAGCTCTCGGCGTCACCCCAAGTACGGAACGTTTTAGAGGTTAGGGTGTTGGGAGTGTGTGAAAATTTGGGATCTTTTTGAGGGGGCCTCTCTCGACCCCATTTCTGGTGCAGGGGTTGAGGTTGGGGATGCAGCTGTCGGCTTCGGGCTAGGACTCAATGCTTGAACTCATGGAAACCCAGTTGAACATAGGGACTTCAAGCATCCCGGCAGTGACGAACGCCTTCTCTGGCAGTGCGAAACCCGCACCTCAAGAAAAGCTTTCAATCCTAAACAATGAAGTGAAAGATACTCCCTAAGCCCTCAGTGCAAAAGCCAAAATCTGCATTAATTGAGGTCATGCTCGGTGCAGCAGGGCCAGAACGTCCAGAGGACAGACGATCACACAAAGTTGCAGAGTTTGGGCAATCGGCCGCTTGTAGGCCCGCGATTCCGGATTTCGGAGCTTAGTTAGGCGAGAGACGGCCACAGAGTAACAGACATGTGACATGGTCCCCGGACAGTACGATGATAGTGGGAGCTGGTGCTGCAGCGGCTTAAGAATGCAGAGCTGGGCCAGCTAGGCAAAAGGCTCGGTAGAGCTTGCCACGATGATGACCCCGGGTGGAACAAGTCCATTTGCAGCCTTTGCAGGGACTCTGACTCCGGGCTTTCCAGGGACTCCGACGGCCGGAGTCCCTTCAACACCGTGGCGATCTCCGTTTGCAATGGGACTGGCCACACCACGGCCCCGGCCGTTCACTCCAGCGGGTCCTCCTCCTCCAGGTCCTCCTCCTCCAGGCCTCGGACTTCTCGCGCCAGGTTTCACGCCGAGCCTCCTGGTACCGCCAAGGCCTGCAGGGCCACCGGCGCCTGTTCCTTCTTTCTCCAGCTCTGAGGAAGACTCCGATGTAGATGTATCGCTGTCGGAGGTCGTGGAAGATACGGTGAAAATGGCCTGCCCCGAGATGGGAGCCACTTCCTGGTACAAGCTGGAGATGCAGGTTGGGGATTTAGAAGCATATGCACCAGGACAGCCTGAGTATTCCGCCACCCATGGCCCAGAGGGCTCCTTTCGGATGCGGTTAAAAGTCTATCCGCAGGGCGTCGGCCCCCATGCCGGGTCGCTGGCGGCATTCCTCGAGCTCATCCCGCCTTCGCACTTGGCCGAGAGTGAGTGGTCTTGCCCTGATGTGCGATTTGACATTGCGGCCCAGCACAGTGGGTATCAGGGGCAGTGGTGGAAGCGTGAGACTGCAAGCCACACATTTACATCTGCCAAACCATGCCTGGGCTGGGACAACTTCGTGCAGGACCCGAGCGGATGGTTGAGCAACGGAGAGCTCATGCTCGAAGCTTCTGCCAGACTGCCCACAAGGAATGTGGGGTGGGACTTGTAAACCAGCACGTGGGTATACACAATAAATACATAGCCTCTAAACTCCAGAGTATGTCGGGTTTAAAAATTACAAGACAGGACGTGGGTATAGACACTGCTTAATACTCTATAGCGTTTGTATCAGCACTCGGTAGCTGCAGCACCTGCCCCCGGCCTTCGCCCAAAACTTGGCTAGGCGGGACTTCCATGAAGCTCCGAGCTGCAGCTACCCAGCCATGGACTTCACGCAAGACCCCGCCTTCATTACCTTCCGCGTGCGCGATGCCCCACCGATCTTCTTTGACAAGCGGGTTCTCATAGCACGCTCAGACTATTTCCGGGATATGCTCTCCGAACCGAGGTTCAAGGAAGCACAGACCAACGAAGTCGATCTGACTTCGGATCCTCACGCCGATGTCCGCTCGGTCAGTGCGATCCTGACGTTTTTCATGTCCGAGACGTTCCTGGCGCGAGGAGATGCGCTCCTGGCCTTTGCCGTGCGCCGCGCGGCTTTTAGACACGAAAGTGGGGGGCACCTAAGGAAAATTGCAGAGCCCTGGTAAACCTTATCTTTTCATCTTTCTCCTGCTTTAGCTCATCTTTGAGGCCGCCTTGCCGACCGCTACGGCCTCAAAGAGCTTCTGCTGAAGGCGGAGAGTGAGCTGGAAAGCCTGCTTTGCGCCGACAACGTGCTCGAGTTCTTGGGGCAGGTGACAGGTGCGCTTCTCAACTTTGCATAGAACCAGTTGGGGCAGACCTTGTCCTCGACCCTCTGCATCCCTGAATGAATGCACGCTGAAGGGTGTAGTGTGTGCTGCAAAGCCGCTTTCCAGTAGCTGGATCGTGGCGAACCCCATGCCAAAGTCTGTTTCAGAGGTTTCTCTGATCTCTTTTTCTAACGATGGGAGCCTTAGATGGCTGAACCGCCTGCAAGCCTCAGTGTTTTCCATGAAATCACCTGAAGCTGTAGGCACAGGCGGGCTGCTGGAGATGGCCTGCCTCGACATGATTAAGGCGAACAGCTGCGAGCTGTTGGACCAACAGCAGGCAAAGCTTCATGGGGCCAAGCACCTTGTAACAATCAGCTACAATTCCTTAAGTGCTCCTTAAGTGCTCCTTACATTCCTCAATCAGGGCGCTGTGGGGAGTAAAAAGTGTCTCTATCTATGTGTATATATATATATATAGAGGCTTCTGGTCCTGGTATCTTCCTTTCTCCGAGCCGCGCAGGAGAACCTGGACCGCATCGCCGAGGCCAACCCTGAACTCGTAAAACAGCTGTTCCGATTGCTCATCGAAGCGAAGTCTCACAAGAAGCGGAGGCTTGAATGACGAAAATCTGAATGACACAAGGCTGTCATGGGCTCTCGTCCGCGCGTCAGGAACCCGGAACCCCCGAAGATCCCCCAGCTCTTGACCCTGAAAGATTCGGTATGTTGGGAAGATGCCGGAGGTCTTCGGAAGAAAGCGCCGATGGGTTCTTATGCACATGGGTAGGTCGATCAATCGCATGTACTAGGATTTAGGGTTTAGGGTTTAGGAGTTTAGCGGTTGAGGCTTTAGGGTTTAGGGTTCATGAGACTTCTCCTCAGCATGGCATGTGGGGCCCCTCTACGCACTGGAGTCTTTCGGTGCGGACACTGTCAGCCCGAGCATACGAGGTTGAAGCAGTAGTAAGGTTCTCCCATTTTAGCCCCAGGGCTTTTATTGAAATCATATGAAATGCCCGAAGACGTTTTCTGGTGAATCTGTGGGCTTCGAATGCAAGGCTTCCTCATAGAAGATGTACCATGCGGAGACGTGAGTAGTAAGCAACGGCGTGCAGCATAGGCTAATGCACTGGAGATTTCTGGACAACGCCAAGTAGCGAAGCATCTCGCGGCATTTCTGCATACAGTCCTGGAGCCCGAAAGCAGTCTGCTTGTGCACAGGACCTGTTCGGCAACAACCGCATTCCCAAAGCCTCCTGCGATGACTGCGGCAACGTAGACCCGGACAGGCCCGTTTTGGAACGTCTGAGCTTTGAAGCTGGCAGGACTGAGGGATTCCTGGGCACCTGTTTTCTTTGGAAATCCCGCACATAAGAGCAAGAACTCTAATTCATAGTGAGCTCTTCATGGATGCCATCGCCCCTGGGCCGTTCAGACAGGCCATCGGATGCCTTCTCCGGCGCCGCAGATTTCTGGGAGCTTTGGACCCCCTCTGGGCCAGAGGCCCAAAAAGCGTGTGAGAAAACTCCGGACCGTAGAGTCGTGGAATTGGAGGGGTGGTTTTGAAGCTTGGAGGATCGGCTTCTGCAGAGAAATACGTCTGGGTTGCACCGGACAAGTCGCAAGTTGGAGTTGTCAGCTGGTCGAAAGGTCGCCCAATTCATGAGTTCAGTGAGAGGGAGGGAGGGCTGTTTTGGCTGGGCGAAGGCTCAGCGCAGCGTGACATGTGTTATCATGTGCCCATATCTGGCCCTGGAGCCGTCTGAGGCAAGGCCGGCCGCTGGTCATGGACTGCGCAGGCCGGGCCAAAAGGTACGGGAGAGCCTCTGAGAAGCGTTATGGAGTGTTCGCTCATCATGCTCAGTGGCCCATGGGATGCTCTTCGCCCTATGTAGATGCCCTCCGGATGCAAGAGCGCACGCTGAAGACAGACCTGTCCAGCAGGCGCGCCGTCGAGGGAGAGCTACTGCAGCTCAGAAGGACCAGGCCCCAAGCCCTCGCAAGCCGCATCGTGGGATTGACACCAATTCACGGAGCTTGACTTCCAAATTCACAAAGATCCAGCCACTTCGCGACTGAAAAACAAGCTCCAGTCTGGCCGTCGGGATCCTGGGCTCCGAGGCTCCAAATGTCTTGAAGCCCTTGGATACTGCGGCAGGAACTACCACCATAACTGCAACGTGGACGACGACAAGCGCCGCCCAGGTTGCAACAAGCACCTTGCCTCAAGGTGCCGTCGGTGCCGTTGCTCCAATGCTTGTTAGTCGCAAGAGACATCTGTTTGCGCTGGCAAAGCATTGCGGCTACACGGACACGCTGAGCCGCTAAGGTCCAGCAAACACCACGCCACCGCTCGGGCCAACAAGGCCGACGGTACGTCTCTAACTTCACATGTTCTGCATGTCTCAATCAGACTCACAAAGTTCAGGAAAGCTCGTCACCAGTCATTATGATTCAGCTTATTGTATACCTGTTCGGAAACCGGGGAGTGCAAGTACTGGCAAGGACTGCGCTGATTTTATTCCCGGCTGCAAAAGATCAACAGACCCAGCATGCCACCGACCCGAAGCCAAAGCTCTTCCTTCTGTCCGTGTTAGCTGTGTGTGGTTCCGGCCCTCGTTGCCTACAACCGGCTCACGAGGCAACATGTTAAGGTGGTCAAGAGTAGCGGTGTCGATTCCCGGTGCAAGGGCAACTCTGCTCTGCAGATGCTGTGCGAGGGAAGATGCCGAGGGAAGCTTGCCTCAAGGGAAGCTTGTGATGTGGACGTGCCGTAGCAGAGGGTGTATTTTGCATGCCACCGTATCTCTGAGCGCAGTTCCACGGCAACCTCTGCAACTTCCGCGACCACCACTCCCACTACTACCACCGCTGCCAGCACATCCGGTGCTGCAACTGGACCAGGCAGGTTCCAGGGATGTCAGGGATCGCGAAGTGCACAATGACGACATGCCGTCTGGATGTGAACCCGCCCAAGTGTTGGAGGTCCCTGTAAAGTGCGAAACCCGGTAGCTGTAGCGAAGCCACAGCAACTGCAAATGATTTTTCAGCGGACAGTTTGTGTCAAAGGCTTCTCGACCACGTCCACCACGAGCATTGCCTCTAGCGTCGAGGTGTCTTGGAAAGTGCCAGAGCACGGACATGGTGTCTTGAAATCTAGATTCGGCACAAGATCCAAAGCAGCAACCCTGAAGTGGACGAGCGACCTGCTGCATGGACATACTTGTAGGAAGGAAGGTTTGGACTTCGGCGGCCCTCGTGAACAGAGGCACCGACCACTCTCCCGAGCTGGATGTCCGAGATGCCCATGGGCTGCGGGCCCAAGGCACCGACAGGGACATGAAAGCGGCTCATGTATGGTGTGCTTGAGATCTTTGGAGCATGTGGTATAGGTCTCGTGTCTCAAGTCGCGAGGTGTGCCCCTTCCGCACCTCCATGGAGGCAGCTGGAAAGCGGATGGAAGCTGCAGTACGTCAGCTGGCCGCTTTCTGCTCAGGCTGTCGTGAAGCAGATGCACCACCGGATGGCAATCGAGCCGCTGTGCTTCAGAGGATGTGGGAGGGGATGATGCTCGCGAAGTTCGGGTCAATGCTGGCATTTTCCAGGCCTAATGATGCGCACAAGGGCACGGTCAGAACCAGGTGCTCATGCTTGATCTTGCTGAGGTTCACATGCGATGCTGATGTCGATTTCGTCCGCGGCATGCTCCCACATCATGAGGCTGACAGGGCTGCAAGTGGACAGGAGTTTGAGACGTCCGAACAGAAATTCCTCCATACTCTACTGACATGCGACTAACGAAACCACTCTCGGGTCCAGCACTTTGCAGTTGGAAGCTGCCAGGGAGCTGTGGCGATGTGCGCAGCTTTGGATGAGTCGCACGGCTGGCTCCAGGCCAATGTCCGGTCTGCTGGGCTGTTTCATGATTCTCTCCCTTGCATTCCCTTCCCCAGAAGTAGAAGTCCTCCGAGGTCCGAGGAGCAGTCGTTCGTTGACGCTTCTCTCCAGTGTGTCCCGTTAACCTGAAGACTTGTCCTGTCCCGTGACCTGCCCGACGACATCTCTCCTCCACCTCTTGTCCAGCACGCACCGCCAGAGATTCGAGGCAGTCCTAAAGCTCACGCATGATTTTCAGTCTCGCATACTTCAGGAAGTGCAGCAGATCCATGCAATTTACATGCGATGCATCAAGGTTCTTCAACAGCCGGTATTGCTGGAGGAAACCGTGGCATTTTTGGCTAGTTTTGTGTTCTGCAGTCAGTTGTCACTCCTGCTTCCAAGTCAGGTTCCGTCTTGACGCCAACGAGGGGTCTCAAACGACAAAAAGCTCTTTGCTCCTGCTTCGCTGTTTTGGAAAGGTCGGGCTTGTCCACTTCTGCTATCACGTCGCTTTGGAGCAGAGATGGGAGGTTCCTCAGCCCATGATGCATTTCGTATGTGGGGGGTTCCCGAAAATAGGGGACCCTAACATAGTACCCTAAATAGTAGGATCCTTCGTATAAGGACTCCAAAATAAGGTACCCCTCATTTTCGGAAACTCCCATGTAGGATGCTCGTGTTGTTAAGGCTCAACCAGCAGCTTAGGATCTGTGCGTTTTGGCCGGTATTTACTGTACCGTCGTGGCTTCTGACGCAAGACTAAGACTCCCGGTGTGGGGAGGCGACTTGGTCCAAAGTATCAATGACCTCAAGGAATGTTGGGACGGCTGTTCCAGATTCTCGCTACAATGTCTGACTTCGTGGCCAACTTACTTGTAGATGACTTTGCGCGCGTTTTCAGACTACTACGGATTGATCCCACCGAACCATGGGACAGCCAATACCCTAAAGCCGTCTAAGTTTTGCTCGTGTGCTAACCATCTCTTGCACAAGCCGAACTACGGTAACTATGTTGCACAAAGTGGTGTGCGAGTGTATCAAGGACACGGGCCCGAAGCAGCAGAAGAAGACACACCACCAGCAAACGCAGCTTTAGAAAGTTCTGGACCACAACCTGAGCCCTCCATCCCCCCCGACCCTGAGCCAGAAGCGTGAGACCATCAGGTTCAAGGAATGCAAGAGTGGCTGGATGCAAAGAACCTCACAGCTGGCAAGGCGCCAGGGTACCCCGAAAAGAAGAGCTCTCTTGACCCGTTTGGCCTTGAAAGAGGGCGCGTCGTACATGTTTCTCGTCAAGCGGGTCCCGAGCAGCTTGACAAGGCCTGCACCGAAGGCTTTGGATGCGGAGACCTCGCGTGTGTGTCCTCTCAGGCGTCCGGGTGCATCCGATGGGTTGCCTTCAGGTGCTTTGGAATATATGGGAGTTTCCGAAAATAGGGGGTACCTTATTGGGGGTCCCTATAATATGGATCCTACTATTTAGGGTACTATATTAGGGTCCCCTATTGTCGGAAACCCCCATATATTGTAGATAGGCTGGAGTCTGAAGGTTCTGAGTGCAAACTTTGTCTGCTCAGCCAAACAGCGCCAAGAATGGGAGTCAACATGTTTCCAGCCTAGTTGCCAGCAACGGTGGTTCCTCGTTGCTTAAACTCTTCAGCCAGTATAATGCTTCTGATCTCCCACATAAGTGACCTTGGGAGTTGAGTTGGCATGGCCACAAAGCTCTCATTGATCTGAATCCTGACAGGCATATTTGGCTGCAAACCGCCGCATGCAAGAGGCAGCCGACCTCTTGAGCAGTGGGAGCTGATGCATATTCTTAGGGGCTGAGTAGGTAACCTTTACCCTTTTGGGGCTTATATAATCCTACTATAATTTAAAGGGTTAACCTTTTGGGGGCTAGGGTACTCAGCCCCTAAGTATTAAAGATCCCTTCCAGCACCCTATCAGGATGCGTGCCGCTTAACACAATGCATCACGTGCCGAAGTAAAGCCGGACCCGACTTAAAGCAATACCCATAGGCCCCATAGTAGTTCCTGTTTGGGATTACCTTATACTTCTAGGATTCTAAATATGAACCCCAAAAAGGAACTACTATGGGGCCTATGGGTATTGATCAATAGACTCAGCCGTGTACGAGGCAACATCCACATATTCAATAGCACGTCCTTCCCCACGGCACACAACCACCTATTTGCCACAGCAATAGCTGATTTCCCCTTCCCATAGACTGCCTAAGGCCTTCCCCCTGGATGCAAAGGTGAACCGAAGGTCGGAATCTGATGCCTCGGGTAACCTGATAATCCGAAGAAAGCACACTAGACTAAACCCTGGCCCTAACCATAAACCCTGAGGCTACAGACCCTGTAACCTTAAAGCTGTTTCCCTGAATCTTTGATGTTGGCCTTTCGAAGTCGCAGCGAATCGCTAGCGCAGGCCATGACTATCAACTACAGCTGCCATACCGAGGAGGACTCACTAAAATCCGTGCCAACTTGACATGGGTTTGGGGATTCAGGTTTCGGTTACTGTAACGGTTTGCCTTGAATGCTTCTATCGTTTTCGGTTCGTGAGACTAGTGCTGATAGCGATTCGGGTTTTAGGGCTTCGCGACTAGAGTAATGGATAGAGCTTTTGAAGTTGAGGGCCCTCGAAGTTGTTACTGAGAAAAGGTCGCACTACAGAATATGCATTCGTCGGTTTAGCATTGCCGCAAGCTGTTTTGTGTTAGCCAGAGCCCCGTCGACTTAGTGCGGCGCTGAGATGCCCAAACAATTTCCCGCTGTGGATGCTGGTGGAAGTGTTAACTCTGTAATTACCAAACACCAAATGATGCAGCAACTGCTTCTCAATGGTGGAAGTGTTAACTCGGTGATTTCCAAACCAAATCACTCTCGATCCACCATGTCCGGAGAGCTTGTTGCGGTATCCGATCGTGTGACTTAGTTTGAGGACTTCGTGCAGGCTATGCTTCCGCACCATCAGGCCGGACAATCGAAGCTGAGGGGCCGAATGAAATCTGGCAAGATCTAGTAATCTAGTGACTAGTTCCGAGTAGAGCCAGAGGTGAGTCATGCTGTGACGACGAGCCTGTTTCGGGTTTGTTGACAGATTTGGACGCCGGCTCTAAGACTACTGGTCACTTTTCCGCTGTGTGAGGCGAGCACTGAAACGCCAAAGCGTGCGGCATCGTAACTCTCAGCTCCCGATAGCTGTGACCACATGGCAATCCTCACTCCTACCGTTCCGTAGATATCGGTCTCAGCTGCATGCCAGCACTTCCCCAAAAAGTCATGTGTTGTATGCAGGCCATCTAGGCAAAGGGGCGTACTTGCCATTACTAGCTTTGCTGTGAAGCATCATTTTGCCATGAGCCCCGGAGCGATTGTTCCGTCCTTGTCCTGCTCAAGTCGAGCTTGTCCTGTCCAGGGGGCGGTCGAGATGTGCGCTGTTCTTCTGGAAAGTTCGTCGCAGGACATGTGACTTGGCTTGGAGCTTGAGAGCTTCCGGAAGGTTCCTTACAATTTTTCGTCTCGCACTGAAAGTGGGGCTATTCCGCAGCTCGCAGAGCTCTGGGACCTTTGGACTCTGTCGCGATCTTCAGGTACTTACGAGACTTGTGCCCGGAGCTCAGGCGTAGTGTGTCGTTTGGACAGAGCGTGCGTTGAAGGTGCGGAAGACAGACAAGAGTATCCCAACACTTTAGTTTTTCAGAACTCTTCTGAAGAGGTGTGCCAGTCAACAGACGTGTCCGGCTGCTGCAAGGTGCCAACATCACCAGGCTGCAGACAGCGGAAATGTCGTGGATGAAGGACCGATCCAGCAAGGAGTCTTCTTTGTTGGTACCCGTCCGTTCGTTGCAGGCAAACTGAGAGGTGGAGCGTCGGTGCTGCTATGAGCATGATACAGCAAGATGCTGCTCCTCCGAGGGTAGTTACAAACCTCTTGTCACGACTGTGTCGGAAGTATTCCCATCCTTCGCAGGATTGGCTAACGTTCAAGGCGCGCCTTCCTTACCGCTTTGCTTTTGCAGGCTTTGTGGGCGTTCCTGGGAAGGTGGGGAAGCTTGCCACCGGGAGCTCGGGCTCTTGGAAGAAGAGCCCAGAGAGTCCGTGGGTTCAGCTATTGTGCCAGGTCGCAATACTGCCAACGACCTTTCAGAGCCCTCATGTTAATTCTTCCTCCAGTATATGCTGGAGTGGTATGGAAGCACAGGAGCACGCAAGCAACAGCCATTCTGCCTGCAAGCAGTCCCGCCTCCTTCTATCCGCTGCTTTGCGAAGCAGATCGTGCCGTTATCCTAATCACAACTACCACTAGCATCAGTGATGCGAGCCTCGAAACCTGCAACTGCTCGAATTGAAACCCTGAGCCCTAAACTCTAAACCCCTAAACCCTTGGTTGCCATAAACCACTTTGTTTTTTGCGCATTTTCAGGGGCTCTCTCCGGCGCAGTGCAACGGTGACTCCGATTCCGCGGCTCCTTGTGCGGTGCTCCGGGGTGTGGATGGGGGGAGCAAACCATGGGGTCTTTAGAGGTTTCTGATGTGGGTGGTTGTCAAAATTAGGGTCCCTTCTGGGGTGCCGTATTATAATAAGGACCCAAAAGGGGACCATAATTTTGACAACCACCCATGTATGTGGCTTCAGGGGTTTAGGACAGGGCTTCTGAGTTTCTTGAGCATGTTGGGCCTGACGCTGCCAAATGTCTGCCCAAAAGGGAAACAGTGGTATGCGCTGCGGCTAGCAGCTACACATGTTGAGATTACATGTAGAACTGCTCATGGGCTGCAGGATATGATGCCCATCACTGACATTTGCCATGTGGCTGGGCTGCAATGCCTTCAACATGTGTCTCAATCTGAAGTTTGGCGGAGAACCTGCTACGTTTACGTGCTGTTGTGCTCAGATAGGTTTCAGTTGCTTGGCTTCAGCCGTAGCTTAGACCCTAAACCCCAAACCCTAAACCCCTAAACCCTAAACCCTATAAACCCTAAACCCCTAAACCCTAAACCCTAAACCCTAAACCCCTAAACCCCTAAACCCTAAACCCTAAACCCTCCCAGGACTTGGGCGGAGATCGGCTTTGCGATTGCTCTGAGCTCACGGACTCGTGCAGCAGCATCGCCCTGGCTGGCGGCAGGTGCCACGGTTTAGGGTTTAGGGTTTAGGGTTTTGGGTTTAGGGGTTTTGGGTTTGGGGTTTATGTAGGGGTTTAGGGTTTAGGGTTTAGGGCGCCTCTTCACACAAACCTGCCTTCAGCTATTTGGGGGTTTCCGAAACTGGGGGACCGTAATATAATATCCTAAGATAGTAGGATCCTTTTTTTTAAGGACCCCAAAATCAGGTACCCCTTATTTCCGGAAACTCCGATTTCAAGCATCACCGGGAATGGACCGGTGCTAATGCTGTAAAACTCGACTCAGTCCCAGCCCTATATGCTAGTCATAACTAGTCTATGATGTCTATGCTATCAAGCACATTACCGCAAGACCCAGGGATATAGCCTTGCACTAGCTGCGGCCCGTTTCGTCTCATGTTTCAGGCTCGGGGTTTAGGGCTGAGGGTTTCGGGATTTCAGCCGTGCTCCTGCCCCTCATGTAACTGTCAGACTTGCTTCGGCATAGCACCGAATGTAAGAAGAAGGCGGCCAAGTACTTCATGTAACCGCACCACCGTGTCGTCACCGCAGTAAGGCAGGCAATCAGGCAACCATCTTGCCTGCTTTTTGGTGTTCGTTGTGAAGAAGCAGATCACATGCAGCTTCAGTAATAGTTCTGCGACAGCGACTCTCGCTGCTGCGGTACGAAGCCACATAAGGCCTCAACCCCCAAAGCCCACGACTTCTACTGCCCCTCGCAGCACCCTACGCAGGCGCTTTGCAGTCAGCATGGGCCTCAGCTTTGTCTGTGGGCTGCCCTAGACTGGACTCTCAAAGGCCCGACTCTAGCAAGTTTATAGGCGTGTAGGTGTGTTTGTGCGAGTCATTTTGGGGGGGGCCTTTTGTCAAAGTGTCTCAAGAAGCTTCAGCAGCAATGACTCATGCTGAGCAGTGAAAAGCACAGCAAGCCGGAGTCACAAGGCATATGTGAGTAGAGTCTGGGCCAAAGATGTGATTTGCGGTCAAGTTGGGGGCTAAGATTTGAGGAAAGCGAGCCAAGGCACTGTTTGCCGCGAGACATGCGGCCTCTGCACGGCGAAGGCTTGCGGCACAGCATTGCCGAGCCTACCTGCCACATGATTTCACGCGAAGAACCTGCCAGGACCTGACCAGCCATGCCAACGGGATGTCATTGAGATGTTGCAGTTGTGAAAGACGTGTGAACTGAAGCCGAAGTGGTTGCACACATGGGCACAGGAGTCTTTGCAGTTTGTGAGGCATCAGTGAGCCAGTGCAAGTCATCACAGTGTTTTCCCGGTATGACGGGGTGAACGGAGACGATGTTGATCAAATGACAGAATGAACCTGGCGAGCCTCCAGCAGACTCAGCCTACAGACATGAACACCTTTGCCCAGACTGCTGCTGACATCGTGGTGGAGCTCTTGCAGTTGGGATCTGTACCAGACAGTGCCGGCATCTGAGCATGCAGAGGTTTTGCGGGAATACAGGCCAGTTCTCTTGCGCCATGCGCACTTCCGCAAACAGGCAGTTGTTCCGCGCCCTTCTACAACACGACAGCACTGGATTGTGAACCCACAAGGAAGCCACAGACGCGATAATCGAATTACCCAAGTTTATGCAACACGTCAGGCGAAGCCGGAAACAGTATCGGTCGTAGCAAGAAAGTGCAAGTGTTGCTGTTTAAGACAAATCTCGCAACCGAGGCAGTCCCTTTGTTTCGATGTATCAATAACGCCGGCTCGCATGCAAGTGTTCGAGGAAGCCCTTGCTGAGCGAGAGCTGCTTTTTCAGGTTTCCGAGTTCCTTGTCCCTAAACCCTAAACGGAGTTATTTTGGCCGGAGCTGTCCTTCTAATTGTTTACAGAAATGAAAGGTCCCAAATTGTCTTGGTGGCACCGGACACTGCGAGAATCAGAGGTTGTTGTCAAACATCGGCTTCGGCAATGCGGCCTTGCAAACCTATGGGTGGTTGTCAAAATTAGGGTCCCTTTTTGGGTCCTTATTATAATACGGCACCGATTATTTAGGGTACCCCAAAAGGGACCATAATTTTGACAACTACCCCTATGGTGAATCGCATCTTTGTGAGCAACCTGCTTGAGACACCTCTGAGCTCGATTCAGAAGCTTTCCCTGCTTTGACATTCTTTCTCAGGGTTTAGGGTTTAGGGGGGTTTAGGGGGGGCCCACGGCGGGATGCAAGCTAGAGCAGACACAAGTGCTTAGATTCGAGGGATACCGGGGTGCGACTTGCAGGCTGCCAGCCCGTCCACAAGTGTCTCCAGCAATACGACCACTTCTACCCCGATGCCGGCCTCGAGGCTACAAAAGGAGAACAACCATACAACCTAATTTAGGGGCCTTATAATACTTAGAATAGGGTTTTGGGGCCCTTGATAGTATAATAATATAGGTACTTATTTGGGTGCCCTTGATAGTAGAATAATATAGGTACTTATTTAGGAGTCGGTCTGAGAGCATGGGAGTCAACATGTGCCCTCAGCTGCCTTGAATCCTGAGTCCAATGTGTTCACGAGAATCCTGGGTCGTGTGCTGCCGAAGCCTGCAATATGGGAGTTTCCGAAAAATTAGGGGTACCTTATTTTGGGGTCCTTATAATAAGGATCCTATTATTTAGGGTGCTATATTAGGGTCCCCTATTTTCGGAAACCCCCATATGTCTCCCTACTTGCATCCGGTACATGACTTTCAAGACTCGCAGTTGCAATAATGCTTTTGGACTGACACGATGCTGTCCTCCGGAGGAACTTTCCAGATGCCAGCAGGCTCCAGTCCCATGTGGGTGGTTGTCAAAATTAGGATCCCTTTTGGGGTCCTTATTTATAATACGGCACCTCTTATTTAGGGTACCCCAAAAGGGACCCTAATTTTGACAACTACCCATGTATGTTGCAGAGACAGCGCCTCGCGTTCGAATGAGGCTTCCTTGCAATATCCGTCGGCGTCGGTGTGGTCTTACCGTGTTACCTGTTACGTCCTGCCATTCTCCTCTCATTCTCTGGTTGTGTATCATGACACCTCACCCATCGCTGTTATCAGCCTCTTTGCTGATCGTACTGTACACAACATTCCAGTCAGTGTTAATTTCGTTTCTTTGCTGTGTAGCATTGTTGTAAACTTTTTCCCTTAGCATGGAAACGGCTAGGATCTCCTCTCGCGTTTCCTCTTTGTTGGATGGCCGACAAATCAGTTTTGCTTTGTTGAACCGTGGGAGGCCGACGAAGGGTGTCGTGGCTTCGTCAGGCCACTTTCCAGTTCCCCTTCTTTGGGCCCGAAACTCAGGATGTTTGGAGGCTCGAAGCACTTTTCGTTGAAAAAGTAGCAGCGGCACTGGCTGTAGGGGTGGAAGTTGTGGAGGTGGTTCAGGCGGCCAGCGAAGTAGCAGCTGCGTTGGCAATGCTGGACATGCACCTGTAAACACCTGCACCAGTATCGTAGCACTGTTGAAAATGTATGGAACACAGATGAATAGTACAAAAGACTCTGTGAGTTGCAGGTTAGTAAGACCAGAAATACTTGGGCTTGTCGTCATCATAGCGCGACGGGGCGCAATTGTTCCAAGCAGAACATCAAAGTTGTAGCATGCACTTTTTGCAGATCGATACATGAAGCGTAGCTGTCTAGGTGAACTCGCCGCCTAACCCTAGCGAGTCTCCTTAATTGGATTTGTGGTTGCGCCCTGAGCTGCTCAGGTTGCAATGCTATGGGTCTTGAGCTGACATCCTCGGATGCCAGGAGCAGTGGCCAAACAGTAATTTTTGGTTCTCTTGAGCAAGATGCTCGGAGATGTGCTTGGAAGTCTTAGAGGAAGCACATGCCGGTAGCTTGGTGGCTTCAGGATGTGGATGCGAAGTGCAGGCTTCTTGCCATGCGCAAGCAAGCTGTTGTGAAATTCGAGGTAGGCAAGATAATGTCACTTGTCTGAGTGGGTGCCGTGCAAGCCTGGAAGACCCCAGGACAAGTTCCAATCATGACCCTTCTTCGCCAAAGGCGAAGATCACCCGAGAGTCGTTGACAAGCCGTAGGTGATGCTCTCGGCTACAAGATGTTGTGGATCTGATGGCACTCAAATCCCACTTGGTGTCTTGCACACAGAGCCACAGAGCACAGAACTTGCTGCTGAGAAGCTTTGGTGGGAAGGCGACCACGACGATACATGTAATCCCCCTCAAAATGCTTGACCTCATTCCACGCTTCGTATCCGACGCCGTAGACTACTATGAGATATTACAAGCTTGGTATTATCTATATATATATATATATACATATGTATATATATATATATATATAGAAAGATAAACAGAAAATATGCATATATGATTTGCAATAATATTCATTAAATACTATATTTTGACATAGACTAGTATTATTTACATATTCATAATATATTCGTTATGATACTACTGTCTGATAGATATTTTGACTACTTTTTTTGGAATTCTAACATTGCTTTATACAGATTTACTTAAATTCTGAAATAGACTATGTTTTGTTATAGATGATAAATTTCTTCGAATCTTATGAATGATTTATAGGATATTTCTATATCTTAGAAATATAGAAATTATTGATATTATTTGATTGATTACTAAGATTAGTATTCGTAAAAGTTCAGAATATGAAATTCGATATTTATATGAGATATATTATATTTGGTTAACTTAGACTATATATCTACTCTATAAAACGCTACGGTCAAACCAGCCCTATGCGGTGCAGCACGCCTCGGAGCGCCCCAGCCCCAAAATTTTCGGGAAATTTCTGGACCCCGGCGAGCAAGCCGATTTGGTCTACCCGGGGCCCAAAATTTCCGGAAAATTAGAAGCTCGGGCTGCAGCTTTAAGACGGTGGTCTCGGGCTAGGCCCAGTCTTCTAAGTTTTTGGAAAATTTGGGGATCCGGGTAGCTCGACGCCTCGGTCTCGAAATTTGCGATTTTTCCGTCATCGCTTCTCTAAATTTTGTAAAAATGTAGACACCGATAATTTTCCGAAAATTTAGAGAACGAA